GTCATTTACTAATCATCCCAGAATCCCCCCTCCTTGGTTTACTCTGTTCAGTGTCAGATCCTTTGTTGCTCTGTTACCTGCTTACCTCTGTCCCCTGATCCAGATGTCTGTTTTGTTGAGGTTCAGTTATTGAAATATTTTGTCCTCATCCAGAACCTTCAACAATGTGATTTACTATAGTGTTAGTAGCAAAAGACTTTTAAAGGCTGAACCCAGAAACCAAGTTAAAAAAAAAGGTTTACAGGCTGAAAACAACAAACAACATGTACATACAGTATAGTTTGATTAATAAGATGCAAAACTTGATGTGTTCAGGCTTTTTAATGCAGATTTGAAAATGAATCCACTTCAGTTCTCTCTGTTTGAACTGTGGAATGATCTGAGCACCGAATGTGTTTCAAGGGTTTTTGTTTCTCTTTGAGGTCTGAAACATACTAACCACTGTGTGACAGTTTACACACATCTGTATGTAAAACATTTAATCTGTATTAACATTCAAATATAAAACAAAAGCAAATGAAAAACAACTGACAGCTCATTGAGAAAACACAGTCTATAAAAGCATCAATCAGACAAATTATTAAGTCTTCTAAAACTACAGAATTAAAATCAAAGATAAGACGAAACAAAAAACTCCTTATAGATTATTAATTTTTAAAATATATGAAGAAATGACTGTTAGAAATGAAAAATTACAAAACTTCACATATTCCACACTTGATAAATGTTACATTTTCAATCTAAGTCTGACTGACAGGAGCTTCTCTGGTAGTAAATAAAAAGCTGTGCTTTGTGCTGGAAGATACGATGTTGAGTCTCCATATTTGACATCATAGTATCTCTACCTTCTTTTCCCTTCTTCTGTAATAAACTGCAGAATAAAGCAGCACAACATGCAGCTCCACAGCATCGTTACCCAGAGCTGCTCCTCATCTGATTTAAGAAGAAACTGTTGCTGCAGGACTCCACCTTCCTGTGAGAGGAGACATCATTTGTTAGAAATGTTTCTTTGTTTTGGAATAAATTACAAGGATTTTACACATAAAGATTAARGCTCAGTTTTTGTGCTAGAACTAGACAGTGGGTTTTTGAGGTGTTTTTACCTTTGAATCAACAAAACATAAAGAGTCAGTRTAAAGATGCAATTATCCCTKKATGTCCTGCTGTACATCTCCTCACTGGTTCACTGTCCTTGTACAGCTCCTGCTCAGCCTCCTGTACTCCCACTTTGTTCTTCTAAATAGGTGCCAGTACACTTRTCCATTCCTGAGACATTCTCTCACTCTCAGTACCTCCCGTTATATCATGTGACCAAGTGACCTTTCCACTCCTCATCTTCATCGTTGCATTTCCTGTTTTAAAGAACTTTACTATATCAGTTTAACCTGCTGCACATCCAGCTGGATCTGTCTGTAGAGCCAACTAATGTAAGTCTTTCTCTTGTGTCCAGCCTCACAGCTCKCTAGAAGCCTTTTCCTTTGCTTTTCTTGTTTCTCTTTGCTCTACGTCWAGCCTCTCAGCACTCTTTGCTCTGTTGTGTGTCTGTTCTGACAGTTSTTGTTGATGTCTGTTGGATCTGACTGTACCTGCAGGGTTTGTCTCCACATTACAGTATACAGCATCATGTAGTTGAAGAGGCCTCCCTGTTAGGATCATCAGATAAAAGGAAAATAATGAGGATTGAATCGTTCTTGAGTTATTTCTTATTTTGTTCATTTTTTCTAACTCACTGTTTTTTACAACTTTTCTCAGTTCAGTGTGAGAGCATGAAACATCACTGGATTCTTCTCCAACTAAAACTTTAAATATTTGTGGTTATTTGTTATTGTATTCTTAAAATCATGCAGTTGTTACATTTGAGATGTTTCCAAACATATTCTTTACCATATCTAGTGGCACAGGAGCTTTGTAATGACTCATAAACAGCAGAATCACCTGCAATAAATAAATGAGAGATGTACAAAYCAAATTAAAACTTGTTGAAAATACCAGTTTTGTCCCTTCTTGTGTCTTCTTTTGTTCTTGCTGTGGTTTTTTTTTCTACTAGAATTTTT